GTGCATGGGAATATGTCATCTGCTGCGTAGGATATAATATGTAGGTGTGCCTATTTATAGAGCAGACCGCGTAGGTGTCGTAGGTCAAATTGTACACGCAGTGGTTGCTCTAAACGGTCTTTGCCTGGCACCCAACTCTCATCCTTAGCTCTCAGGAGCTAGCCTCCGCCTGGGGACTACGCGACGGAAGCGGCCTAGATCGACATGCGCAAATATTCAGTAATGTGTGCGTGTTCCCACGCCCGGTTATTCTGATTCCCTTCCTTCCGCAATTTCAAAAAAGTCCTACCTAGTGGACGACATACAATTTCGTAAACTTCCTAAGCTACTAGCGGTCGCTCTCCTACCAGCGCAAGTCGTGACCCAAGGTGAAGTTTAGTGGCCGTCCGGGATGTCTCAGCAGCCCCATTTAGGAAGAGCACTGATTTCCCCCGGCAGTACCTAGTATGCGAAATAGAAGTCTATAGTTCAGTTATGTTTGCCATTGGAGGACAAATGTTCAATTACTATTCTGACCTTCTTATTGGCCCTACCGATCGCGCTCTAGTAAAAATGAAAGGAGCGATTGTTCGGCGACAGAAACCCATCCCGTGGAGGACGCCTGTCTGGATGACATAATCAAAGAAAACGAAGCCATTAAGATTCTGAAACTTTTCCGACTAAACAGCATAGATAACGCGAGCTTTTAGGGGCTGAAATCAAGGCCTCTAAGGACAGTTTCGAAAAGCAAACAACAGACGAACCTTCCACTCTAACGAACGGCAGGGAAGTATTCAATCATACGGATTTTGGTTTTCACCTGGAATACTCTGCACAAGAGAGAGTGAAATGGATGACGCTGAAGGCGGAGCTGGAGACCTTGAAATAACAAGGCGGGAAGGGACTGGCAATAATAAATATAGTGATTGTTCGACGGCCAAAAGCCCCTCCTATGGACGATGCCTGTCATATTGGCGAAGTTCACACGGCCGAACAACTAATTCGTCGCAAAAATCAGCAAAAAACTATACACCTTTTACGAAAACGTGCAAAGCCTCTTGAACAAGCTCGACGAAATCAGAGAAACGGACATAGCCGCCCTCATGGATGCTGTAAGTCAGGCACATCCGTGGACCAGGTTTAGGTTGGTTAAAGGGGCAGGCTCCCTGTCTTTTCTAGACGTTCTTCTAAGCAGAAAAGCTGACGGCAGCATCTGAAGAAGGGTCTATTGGAAGGACACCTGGTCTAGACAATATACGAACTTCTACTGTTTCGTATCCCTTCGGCAGAAACGTAATCTGATCCGCTGTTTGGTGCATAGGGCTAGAAAAATCTGTTCGGCAGATAGCGTTGATTAGAAACTTAAGAGGATCCAGGACCTGCTTCTCGAGGACGGGTATCCTGACATAATAATTGTAAGGAATCTTTCCGAACGGCCGGAAGAACTTACCATACCGACTGCAGAAAACAAAACTCTGTTCCTCAAAGGCCCCTTTCAAGGGGACGCGGCGAATGAGCTCCTGAGAAGGCGCCTTGGCCAAGCCGTTTCACAGACCCTCCTGGCAGCAAGAGTTCAAGTATTGTTTTCAACCAATTCCGTCTTACGCCGGGAAGGTAAGGATAAACCACTAGGTCAGACCACCTCCATGTGCATTTACTCCTTTATTTTATTCTGTGGAGTAGGCTACATTGGTCGTACGAGTCGGACCCTATCCGCATGAATACGAGAACGCCTGCCGGCGTGGTTGAGGAATGGTGAAGTTAAAAGCATACACAGCTCCATCCTCGCACTCTGGGTTGATTCTGGGCACCGTGTGGATTCCAACTATCTACAGGGTCCCACCTAACTAACCTAAGAGACTGGGTCAGCGCTTATTAGCAACAGCAGAGGCAACTGCCATCGAACTACAGAGGCCGCCGGCCTCTGCGCACAGAAGAACCTCTTGCACGCTCCGCGTCTACCGTGGGCAAGGATCAATTAACTGTATGCAGGTCTCCACACTCCCGCCCCCTCCCCTCCCCTCCCCCCCGACACGGCTCAACCCAACCCTCACTGTCGCTGACTGCCTCCTTTCCTCCCTCCCCCCCGCTCCATTCACATACCCCGTTGGTATGACAGGACGAACCATAGTCGATTGCACTTGTCACTCACACCTTCAGTTTTTACCTCGTTCCCATATAAATGCACGGGCCCGATGAGAATTAATCGAAAGCACGCGTAAGCCCGCCAGATGTTCTTCTGAAATGCTCCATGGGAATTTTCTCAATTTTAGAAGTCAACATAAATGTGACCAAGCTATTTCCTGATGTTATTGCGTTAACTGAAACGTGACTCATCCCAGATGTCACAGACTCCCAAAAATAGACAGATGGTTATCAAGCGCTGATGCGAGAGCGAGCGAAAAGGCGAGAAGGGGGAGTTGCTCTACATAACAGTAATGCAGTCGAATATAAATCTGCTGAAGAATTTGCAAATGAGCATGACGTGGAGATGCTACAGTGCCATTTTGTTCACCAGCCATCATGCCTGGTTTGGTGTCATTGTTCAAGACCTCGCTGCCTCAAGGTCATTTGCTAGCTCTCAGGCATGACTGGACGCAGTCAACACCAGCCCCGGCTTTGCCAATGGCCACTATCGCCTGAGAGGACAGCTCCGGGTTCTGTGCACAATAAATCCCTCATTCTAGTGCTTTCTGTCTTCTCCTTACAATCTGGGATTTGACTTGATAATTGTAGCGCTCAGAGTACTTACTCTCGACGCATAACCGCTACAAGCACGAGCCGAAAATGTTACTAATGCCGTTGTATATAGGCCTCCATATCAACCTCCCAACGAAGACCAAGCGTTAATCACTCTACTCCGCGACGACTGTGGGAAGCAAAGCATTACTATTGTGGGAGATTTTACTGTTCCGCGGATTAACTGGAACCTTAATGGCCACCAACGAGGATTTGACCAAATGCTATAAGACATGGCACTTGATGAATTTTTGTTTTAATATGTACGAACAATGACTCGGATGCGTGAAGGTCAGAATGCTAGTTGCCTGGACCTAATGTTTACTAAAGATGAGGAGAATGTTGATGATATAAACAGTGGCCCGCCCATTGGTTTTCGTGGTCACATGACATTATTGTGATAATCAACACTCGTAGTTGTCCCCGTACCTAGTAGGCGAAATATAGCCTATAGTTCAGTAGAGTTTGCCAGTGGAGGAGAAACGTTCAATCACTGTTCTGACCATCATATTGGCTCAGACGATCGCGCTCTCTTTTTGAAAGCCTAAACTCTGCTGCTCATGTAGCATGTTGCATCAAACCAGAACAGCTTATCTCTCAGTTAACTGCAAGTTGGTCTTCCTGACAATCTTGTACTAAAGTGTTTGGCCGTTTCCGACAAGCCCAGCATCGAGATTTCGGCATAGTATACGGCGGAATACAGCTGATCGGTCATCCCTGGTCGCGGGGCTTTAAGACACATGCTTTCCTGTGTGATTGTGGATTCCGGTTTATTGACCACAAAATCTCGAGAAGCTTCATGATTCTTGTCGTTGGCTCCGAACTTATCTTCACATGGGGCGGTTGCGGGTCAGACCTTCGACTCTCTTCTGCGCTGCCGATGAAAGTTTGGTCTACTGAGGCAATTGCTTGTGGAGGACTTCGGACAATCATTGTCGGAGTCGCTTTGGGTCGTGTGCTTCAGCGCCACAGAGATGGCGGAAAACCTAGTTAAAGGGCATTTTCTTCGTTGTTATTACTGTCTTCTGCAAAGTGATCTTCACGATGAAATCATCAGGCAGACTCTGTCCTCGGTGCATATGCTTTCGCGGGAGGCCTCAAATGCTGCTCATTGATCTTCTGAGTGCGCTTGTCTTCTTGCAACAGACGTTTGCTCCAAAGCGTCTTTCGCCCCCCTCCTTCCCCAAGAGTAAATACAACACTATACCTACTGCCTTATAGGTTTTACGTAGTTTCTTTAGACTTTCCAACCTTTCGAATACCCAAGCGCATGCGCGTGCTCCGCCTTCTACGGCGGACCATGAGGCATTTGCGGTGTACCAACACTTGAGTAGGTCAGGATCCGTCAGGCGCTGTTGGGCAACTCTCATTCATGGGGGTATGATGACACGCCCAGGCACGGCTTCCTGTCGCGCTAACAGTCTGCGCGCCGGGCTCTTGTGTGTGGGTAGAAGAGGGTGATTTGTTTGCAGCACGAGTCAACTGTAGTTTTAATGTAATTTTTGTGCATATCAACGTCCGTCTGTCCGTCATGTTGTGGGATATTCGACAGACATCACCGAAATCGCTGGAACGAGAGCTTGTTTCGCCTGACGTTTCGGATTCTCACCCGAACCCATCATCCGATACAGTTGCAGGATGCTTTCGCCACGATTAAACTGTTGTGAGTCGAGTTCCACCGACATTGCTACGGAGTTCAGGGTTGTCATCACGTGACGGCGGTCAGTGCAGGACCACAGTATCCGTATCGGGCCAACGTTTGAGGCGATCAAGGATGTGAGATCAACTTAAACCAGGCACAATAAGTTCGTTTCGTCTACTGTCAGAAGTCAGGGAGCTGTGAGGACTAGTTTATTCTGTACACAGGGCAGGTTGCCGTAAGTTGGCGGTTTGCTTGCAACAGAGAAAAGCGTCCGTTCACGGAGAGCGTCAGTCGCGGTGTGTGTGTTGTTTACGCGGGTGTGCGTCTGGGTCAGCAGGAGGGGTGACTGGCTGAGTGTTGGTCGTGTGATTGGACAAATTAGGGGAGGAATAGGGGCGCATGCACACAATGCCTCACGGGTATAAAGCCAGCGCGTTAGACGCGCGTGAGGTGATGAAAGTTTGTGAGGCCAGCCGCCAGTCACTGAAGTTGGACCGGGGGTGTCTGAGTGTTAGCCGGCGGGGGTGGCTGTGTCGCGGCCATCGACCGACAAAACGCAGCCGGAGAAAAAGGGGACTGGAGCGGCTGCTACAACTCCCCCCCCCCCCCAGACATCAAATGAAGTGAAGGCGTCGACATGCTAGCCAGCCACAAACCGGTCGGGCCAGTGGGCGTGGCGACCAGATCGTGTGCGGCGAACCGGAGGCGGTCTGTCGCCAGTAGGTGGAGAAGGCCGCACTGTCTGAGGCGGGGTACAGTGTTGAGGTGAGGAATGGTCACTGTCGTCGATGTAGGCCGGCTTGACGCGATCAATGCTGACTGTGTCGGTCTTGCCGTTGCGATCGATGACAACATCTTTGTCAGATCGACGAAGGACTCTATACGGCCCGTCATAGGGTTGTTGGAGTGGCCGCCGGACAGCGTCATGCCGAACCCAGACATAATTGCACTTATCCAGGTCGGGAGGGATGAGGGAAGTGGTCGATGACGCCCGAGGGGACGTTGCGCGGAGATTGCGCATGACACTACGCAGCTGCTCCACATAACTGCAAGGTTCGAAAAACGTTAGCATGTTTGAGGGAGACACTAACTCACCGGGCAGTCGTAGGGAGGTTCCGTAGACAAGATCAGAACAGCGTGGACTCGAATTGGGATCCGCGGTCAGTGGTGACAGTCGCAGGAACTCCAAAATTGGACACCCAATGAGTCAAGAAAGCTCTTGCTACAGTTTCGGCACTGATGTCCGGAATAGGCACAGCAACCGGCCGCCGAGTAAAAGGATCAATGCATGTCAGCATATAGGTAGAACCGTTAGATGGTGGCAGCGGACCTACCAGGTCAATGTGCACATGACTGAAGCGTGCATCAGGAGTGGCGAAAGTTCCTGGCGGAGTAATAGTATGCCGATGCGTTTTGGTTCGTTGACATGGTAGACTGGAGCGGGTCCAACGCCGTACATCCCGGTTGATGTTGGGCCAGACGAATCGGTCAGTGATGAGTTCCACTGTCGCCCGGACTCCAGGGTGGGATAGATTGTGAAAGGCGTTGAACACGTGTCGTAGTAAAGTTGCAGGGACAAAAGGACGTTCGTGTCCGGTAGAAAGGTCACACGTGATGGTGCCAGTGCCGGTGGGGAGGGGGACATCTTGAAGGCGTTAAGAAGAGTCCTCGTGGCGGTATTGGGGAAGTTCGCCATCCGATCGCTGAGCCTCAGCCATGAGCGTGAAGTCTATGGCGTCTGTTGTGATGGAAGCCATCTCGATTCTTGAAAGAGCATCAGCAACCACATTTTCCTTACCGTGGACATGCTGGATGTCGCAGGAAAACTGTGAGATGAAGTCCAGATGACGAATTTCACGGGGCGAGTAGCGATCGGGGGAGGCCCTCAGTGCAAAAACGAGTGGCTTGTGATCTGTTAGAACAACAAATTCACGGCCCTCGAGGAAATGGCGGAAGTGCCGGATGGATAGATAAACGGCAAGAAGTTCTCGGCCGAAGACACTGTAGCGGGTCTCTGCTGGGCTGAGCTTCTTCGAGAAGAAAGCCAAAGGCTGTAGAACACCACTAACAGTTTGCTGCAGTGATGCGCCAACGGCAGTGCTGGAAGCATCTGTCATGAGAGTTAGTTGGGCATCAGCGCGGGGGTGGGCTAGTAGTGTTGCGCTCGCAAGTGCGGCCTTGACGTCATTGAAGGACTTGACGGCCTCCTCGGTCATCACCAGTGTCTTCTTGGAGTGGGTCAACAGGCTGTCGAGAGGCTGCAGTATGGTGCACCATGGGGAAGAAAACGGTGATAGTAGTTCACCATCCCCAAGAATCGGCATAGTTGGTTGATGGTTGTCGGGACGGGGAACGCAGATATGGCCGAAACCTTTTCTGGGACGGGCTTTATCCCATCTGAGTTCACTTCGTGACCAGGGAAGATAAGGCTGGGGACTCCAAACTCGCATTTAGCAGCACTAATTACAACGCCGAAGGAGTCGAGCCGTTCGAAGAGTTGTCGAAGATGAACCTCGTGTTGAGCGGCGTCAGAGCTAGCCGCCAACAAATCATCAATGTAGGCGTAGACGAAGTCGAGACCTCGCAGAACCTGATCAATGAATCGCTGAAAGGTTTGAGTGGCATTCCTCAGTCCAAAGAGCATACGAGTGAATTCAAATAACCCAAAGGGAGTGGTCACTGCAGTTTTCGGCACATCACTGGCCTCGATTGGAATTTGGTGGTAGGCACGCACAAGGTCAATCTTGGAGAATATTCGCTTATCGTGCAGCGAAAGAGTGAAGTCTTGGATGTGCGGGATGGGATACTGGTCGGGGACAGTCACAGAGTTCAACGCCCGATAGTCGCCACACGGTCGCCAGTCGCCGCTCTTCTTTGGGACAAGATGGAGGGGTGATGCCCAGCAGCTGTTGGACTGTCGGATGATGCCGAGCTCAAGCATGTGTTCGAACTCTTCCTTGGCAATCTTCAAACGGTCCGGAGCAAGACGGCGTGGTCGGCAAGATTTGGGAGGTCCGGTGGTGTAAATGTGGTGGGTGACTTTGTGTTTGATGTCCACTTCTCGAAATGAGGGGTTGGTCAGGCGGTGGAAATGCCTGAGCAGTGAGTGGAAAGGACAGTCAGAGATGGGCATAACAGTGAGAGGGTTGACGCAGGGGTTCACATCGGAGTGACAACGGGCATGAAGGTCGGTGATGCAGTCGACGAGTCGGCGATTCTTCAAATCGACTAGTAGATTGAATTGAGCGAGGAAATCGCACCTATGAGGGCGACGGAGACGTCGGCAATAATAAAAACCCATCGGAAAATTCGACGAAGGCCCAAATCAAGTGTGATGGAGCGCTGTCAAAGGTGGGGATGCTGGAGTTGTTGGCAGCTGTTAGACAAAAAGAGCTGCGTGTTTTGCGTTCGGCCGGAATTGGTGGAACCACGCTAACCTCGGCACCAGAGTCGACAAGGAATTTGGCGCCAGCGATACGGTCCCAGAGAAACAAACGGCGAGTGTGGAGAATGGCAAAGCTTCCAGCAGCAGTAGACTCTACTGTCGGGTGGGATTGTCTCCCTGAGGCCGTTAGAGATGCCTTGAGAGAGCATGGCTGAAGGCATCGCCGAGCTGCTATTCCAATTTTTTGGTGATACCAGCAAACGCTACTTGGAGATTGTGGACGGCGGGTGTGGGAATCGGAGGAAGTAGGGCGACGGTTTGGTGTTCGCCGCGGGCCGTTAGTGGTAACTGCAGTAAGCTGGGCTTTCAGGCGCATTAATACCTCCGCGAGCCGATCCAAGCGTACGCTAGCTCCTTGAGAATTTGGGTTAATGAGTGACTTCTGGTCTTGGGACATCGCGCTGTAGGTCGCCGGAAGATTGTTGTTGACGAAAAGTTTGCGGAATTCCAGTGTTCGGAAATTCGGGGTCACCAATTTGAGGCGATCAAGGATGTGAGATCCACTTAAACCACGCACAATAAGTTCGTTTCGTCTACTGTCAGAAGTCAGGGAGCTGTGAGGACTAGTTTATTCTGTACACAGGGCAGGTTGCCGTAAGTTGGCGGTTTGCTTGCAACAGAGAAAAGCGTCCGTTCACGGAGAGCGTCAGTCGCGGTGTGTGTGTTGTTTACGCGGGTGTGCGTCTGGGTCAGCAGGAGGGGTGACTGGCTGAGTGTTGGTCGTGTGATTGGACAAATTAGGGGAGGAATAGGGGCGCATGCACACAATGCCTCACGGGTATAAAGCCAGCGCGTTAGACGCGCGTGAGGTGATGAAAGTTTGTGAGGCCAGCCGCCAGTCACTGAAGTTGGACCGGGGGTGTCTGAGTGTTAGCCGGCGGGGGTGGCTGTGTCGCGGCCATGGACCGACAAAACGCAGCCGGAGATAAAGGGGACTGGAGCGGCTGCTACACGTTGAGTCGCCAGAGACGAACAGACCCTGTTGCGGACGCCCAGCACCGTCGGTATGACTTTATTGTTCAAGGCCCTGAAGCATCAAGGTTACATACCTAACGCAGCGAGCGACTCCAGACGTGCTGACCAGCAGCCTTTCGACCGACTTCCACTCGGGCGCATGTGCGTCCACTGAGTCGCAGCTACCAATGCGCCACTTGAACGCCCTTGAACGTATAAGCAATCCCCTCCCCCTCCGTTGCACAATTACTCGCTGGATCAAACTGATATGAAAGGCGCAAACACGTGATATTTGTAAACTCAGCGTACTCGCATCTACTCAAATAGTTTTAGAAAATGAACTATAGACTATCAGTTAAGTAGGGCTGCAAAACCAAACCTCGTCATTTGTACTCCCCCATATTGGGCGCCGGTTCGCCCCTCACTGCCTGGACGGACCGTTCCTATTCCCATGTCCTATTTAGGGGACTGCATAAGTCAATCTAACTTCCATAATCTGTTTAGGCATATCTCACATGACCTAGTGTCTAAATTCGCATCTGCTAGTCTCCAGATGGTGAGCCCCTATTTATGCAAGGAACCATAACATAAGGGTCGCGTTGAGAACGACCTATTTTGGCCTGAATAAACTTTCAGGGGAGGGCCAATATATCTCCTTACTTGGTCGTTTTTCAGAGTGCCGCTTTTATCACGTCTTCATATTGTAATAAACATTAGTCCTGTTAATGCTGTGAGTGCGCACATTTTGATTAGAAATACCGAGGTTTCCGTGTGCAAACAAGCGTTTTTCTCCCACATAGTGCAAAATGCGTCTTCAGTAGCATAATTTATGTCGGAAGATATGTGTTCATATTCTCCCGTAAGGCGGTGAGGAGCTCACAAAAAGTTCAGAGAATGGAACACACGGCCGCGATTTGATTGGACAGGTTCACGCACTGGATTCGGCGAACACAGAGTAATTTACTCCAGTAAGTTTTAATAAACAGAGGTTGCCGGACTTGACAATCAATTTTTTGTCCGATGCTAACCATGGTGATCAGCTTCCTAAAACAAAGGTTATTTTAAGAGAAGCAGATGTTTTATCTATATACATAAAAATGGAAGGATTTTATTTCTGATTTATATCCAATAAATGACATAGCCCTAGCACTTGCATCCGCGGAATAGCTGCAAATTTGCTACCTGGCAGAAAGCCCGTTCACTCAGCTTCGAAATTGCGGTGAACATGCAATTCCTGTAAACTTCCAAGTGCAACATTTCTAAAGCATCCTGCATGGGAAAAGTACTGCAGAAATGCAAACCTATTGTTTGGGATGAATGCACAATGGCTCACAAAAAAGCGCTCGAGGCCCCTGATCGAACACTGCAGGATTTGCGAGGAAACAGCAGACCACTTTCGATGCACTGCTACTGCCTGCAGGAGACTTCAAACCACCACTGCCTCGATCGAAACCGGTGTATGAAATAAATGTCAGCCGTCACCACTTACTCTGGAATTCTCGAGCGCGACTGGGTGCAGCAAACAATTGCCCTGCCTTCGACAGCGGCTAGAAGGACAATCCTGGGTTTCGCACACAATACGTGCCACCAACCGTTGGCCCTTACATTTTTCTTAATTGGGAACGTGCTCCTCCCTCTTTGCCTTATTTCCCAATTCATAAGATTGAGCCACAGCAACGCGTGGCGGGGTCCGGCTAGTCTATCTATATACATAAAAATGGAAGGGTTTTATTTCTGTGTTATATCTAATCTCCGAAAGTACTGCACCGATTGCGCTGAAATTTGGACACAACCTGACCCGCGCATAGGGCCGGGTTTTTGTCTGCTCAATTTTGTAATTATGCAGATGGTATGCCTGTGATGGGTAAAAAACTGGATTTTTTCCGGCGTAACAACGCCACCAGCTGCGGCCACTTGACCTACATCGCGCGCGGACACATGTGCGCCCAGACTGCGGCCACTTGACCGACAGTCGCTCAAAGGCACGTGCTCCGCCCGACAGCCGCGCTCACCCCACCACCCACCCTGCAGGCACTTGAGCAGGCCATCCACGCCCTCTGGGCCGATGCAATCTGGACCGGTAGGCAAACCACCCACCCTGCAGCAAAAAACACGCAGCACTTGGATGCCACTTAAAATTGCCCACACTGCCCACATAATTGGGCTGTCACCGCTTCATCTGGGATTCTCGGGGGTGAGGAGTGGATGCAGTTAACAGCAGCACCTGCCCCCTTCCCCGCACAACCCACATAAGGGGCCTGTCACCCAATGTCAGCTCAGCACTGTGCAGCTCGGCTTGAGGAGGCCCGGTTGCGGTCACGGCTGCCGCGTTCTGCAGCTTCGGGCCTGCCTTGTTCACAACAGGATGAACACAGCCAGCTGGAAGTGGCTGAATGGCGCCAGCGAGGAACAGCAGACCAGCGTCAAACACGACTCCGTGCTCAGCATTCACGCAGCCTGATGCTGTTGTAAACGACGGTACGACAACAACCTTTGGAAGAATAATGATTTTAGGGTAAGGTGAGACCATAAATGCCGGCAGTCGGAGACCGATTCCAACGCAACATCCATTTACTTATGGGGATGGTGCCGATGGATATCACTTCAACGTTAGGATGACAAATCCAGTCAGTGACAAGGAAACGCACGTGAAATGCAGCGCAATGAACCACTTATCCTAGCGACTTATGATTCGACAGAATGTAAGTAATCCCCTTTTTGAAAGGCCGTCAATTGCTCCATCACTGCATTGTGGATATGTATGCAAAAATCGAAACTGGACGCCTGCTTTCATTCGCTTGAATCAGACCAACCAGCACTCTGAAGGACACATTCCTTTGCATGATGCAGTTCTGAACGACGGTAATACAGATAACGTTGTTGGACTGCTGATTTTGCCCTCCACATACACAGACAGTCCACGCCATATGCTCGGGTACGCTTGAGGTGCAATTGCTTACGTTTGTTAGTACGGACGTCCAGACCTACTCATTACATTCACATGCAATCCAGCTTGGGGGATGTTTATCAGCTCTTACCGCCTGGGCTATCGACGGTAAATAGGTATGACATAACAACCCGTATTTTCAGGAAGAAACTGCAATCGCCGATGAACTGCATAGTGAAACACGGGGTGGTTGGGTCTGTACGCTGCTGGATGTATTGGGTGGAACGGCAAACGAGGGGACTGCCCCAAGCACATGTCTGGATCTGGTTCTATAACAAGATCGCTTCCAACTAAGTCGACGACGCAGTATGCGCCGAATTACCTGATATCGACGTTGACAATGATTTGCATGAAGTTGTGGCGAAGAATATGATGCATGGACCCCTTCCCCCGGCATGATAGACGGAAGTTCCTTTTAACGAAAATGCTCAGCGGAAGACATCGGCAAATTGGCAACCGTACGAATGCTAATCGGTGACACAGAAGTCGGTAACCGCTGGGTTGTTTCGTATTCGCCTTTGCTTCCAGATGATGATACCTTCCGCCAACTATGCAAGGAAAATTCAAATGTGGCTTGCACAGCAGGAATCTACAGCGAGGCGTTAATATTGATTGAGGATATGTACGCAGAAATCGCGAACATAGTTCTTAATCAACTGGGAATGTTACCGCAAAACCAATCCGCTTCTGCTTCGTTTAATGTGGATTGGCGTCATGAGCAAAATGAAACACGGTTCAGCATCTGCCATGTTTGCAATGAAACATTCACCAGCTAAGACTGGAGCAGAGTAGTATTTACGATCAAATAATGAGGAATGTCAGTAACGGGGTTGGAAGAATCTTCTTCCTAGATGCGCCAGGAGGAATGGCAAAGTGCTCATACAACAACGGATTCTGACGGCAATTCGGTCCAATAAATGACATAGCCCTAGCACTTGCATACGCGGAATAGCTGCTACTCTGCTACCTGGCAGAAAACCCGTTCATTCAGCTTCGAAATTGCTTTTGAATGCTCAATTCATAGAAACTCCCGCGTGTAACATTTCCAAAGCATCCGGCATGGGATAAGTACTGCAGAAATGCAAACCTATTGTTTGGGATGAATGCACAATGGCGCAAAAAGCGCTCTAGATCCCTGACCGAACACTGCACGATTTGCGAGGAAACAGCAGACCATTACTGACGCACTGCTACTGCTTGCAGGAGACTTCAGGTCACCACTGCCTCGATCGACACCGGTGGACGAAATAAATGCCGGCCGTCACTATTTACTCCGGAATTCTCGAGCGCGACTGGGTGCAGCAAACACTTGCCCTGCCTTCGACAGCGGCTAGAAGGACAATCCTGGGTTTCGCACACAATACGTACCGCCAACAGGTGGCCCTTACATTTTTCTTAATTGGGAACGTGCACTTTCCTCTTTCCCTTATTTCCCAATTCATCACATTGAGCCACAGCAACGCGTGGCGGGGTCCGGCTAGTCGATTTATAAAATTCAGATTAACTGAGCTTTTCGATTTTGTACCCTAAAGTGCAGTAATAACGCATACAGGGAATCCTTCATTTAAATGGACTAAAATTGTTTTGCCTCTGGAAATTCCTCCGTGTTGCTACAGGAACGATCACTACCGAACTGCCATTTTCAGCTTCGAACATAACGAATATTACGTTTTGTGCAGTCAAGCTTCCGCACACACCCAATTCTGAAACGAAACGTGCAAAACTTTAAAATCTTCGGTAAAATATCAGTGTATATATAGCCACTCTGTCATGCATTCGTAATCGTAGAACGGAGTCTAAATGTGAGCAAAACGATTAAAATAGCCGCAATATAAAAAAAGGCATGCTCTTAGGTTTATAGCCGAAATATATGAGTATCTTTTGGCAAAGTGAATGAAACAGCCGAAAGTGTCAAATTCTTTTCTTGGTCACACTTTGCAAAATCTAAAGTACTCAAACATCCGTCAATGGAATGCAATATCAAAGCTCTCCTTATAGAGGTAAGTTATTAGAGAGTCTTCTAAATGATCTAAGGCACATTCGTTGTTGCCTTTCGTTATGGACGTCAGTTTTATTCGACGATGAGGGTTCCTGTTTATTTGATTCCTCAGATGTGACTCAGATGACGTTCTAAATGAAAAAGAAGGCCCAAACACACGTTTCTTTGGTAAATGCCTCCAAGAAGTATCTTATTTTAAAATTTTTAACATACGCATAATACAGAACCTGTCCTTATGGCGATCGTATGAAAATACTGAAAATCGGGAAATACTGATCGATAATTCAAGGCCGATTTGAAACTCAATGTAATCCTGAGCGAACGAAAGGTGTAAATTACTTCAACGGAAGAAATGTTCTTTTGATAAACATAAAATGGTATGCTTATGATTGCACGTGTCAATTCTATTTAATATTATTTGGCATCTCTCGACCCTGCAACATGTGATCTTATGAAAACGTTTGTTCCCTGTCGGCGAACTCAAGCGATATCTTGCTTTTCTTATTGTACCGCAACTCAATTTATTCAAAAAAACTAAAGGACATCACGAATCATCTGGAAACTGTTTTGGAATCTACACTCAAAATGCAGGCTGTTGACTGTTATTTTATTTGTTATTTCATATGCACTTAGTCTTTTTCCACGGGCAGACGTTTCGAAAATTTAAAAATGACGTTTAATAAATTACATCCATTTTTGACGGTTTCGGGATTTTGCGGTTTTCCTAAAAAATGGCATTTCTTAATAAAGAAAAATTACCTCTATTATTTATTTTATGCTTTGAGTTCTCCTCAATTTTCGCTTTATTAATATCGACGTTGGGTCCACAGATTTGTGTCTGTTTGCGAGTGATTAGTGACCATAAGTAACTTTCAACACATTTCATGAGTTAGGTCACCCACTGTAACTAGTGCTATTTTGGTACGAATAGAACCCGGTAGGAGTTATTTCACTCGGAACGTCGTTCATCACAGAAGACAGAATAAGGAGATTGGCTAACACATGGTTTGGCAACAAGCGCGGTCATCACCCTTGTTGAGCTCAAGGTTTAGTGCACCAGCTGAGGACTCCATTTCCATCAATCTACAAGCACAACACAGAGCTAGGTCTGAATCTGCGCTACCTGAAATTCGCAATTTCGAATCACGCACCATCAGTCGAGGCATGTAAATCACATCAAACAAATCTTAGGTACGTCATGACAAATGGTTTTATGCTTCGCGTCAAATCTACTGATCCTAAGCCGGAGCGGCTTAGGGCGGATGGAGAAGAACTCCCACACGTCATTTTGATTGGTTTTTTTTAATACTGTTGTGGGCCGTGACAGCAGTACAGGTTGAAAGAGTCGAAACCTCCAAGCGTGGAACGAAGAGACGTTCACGCTGCGCATATGAAAGTTATTGTCCTTGAAAAGTAAGAAGCGAAGAATATATAAACGTGCTGCACAAAACCCACCCACACCAAGCAAGATGCTGCTGATTTTGGGCCTCATCTTTTTGCTTCCACTGACGGGTAATTATATCGGGCATTGTTTTGTATTTTCGTATCTAAATACAACCTACTTAGTTAAATTGTAATGTTTTAAATCGGGCTTATATTTCCTTAAAAAGTAAAATATTAGAATCCCCATTTAATAATGGCCAGGTCTGGTTTCCTCATTTTAATAATTCTGCAGAATCGAGCAAAATACAACTCTGCATAAGCACTGCATATTAGTTCAGTTTTATGCGGACGCGTTAACATCGGTTGACATCCATTACTTAGCCCTGATTTGTACAGATAACGTCGACCGTTCTTTATTCAAGTACACCCAAAGTAGAATTACAACAAAAACAATAAATAGAAAATGTTAGGCCAGTCCCATTCCTGTTGCAATGAGTATGAAGGATGTAAAGCGTCTTTTATAATGGTATAAACGCCACGACAATGACCAGTTGTCTGAATTTGTGTGTAGGTGAAATGGTACCATTTCCTGCAGTGGTTAGTTTGGAAATCCAAAGTACTCAGACGTTATGAAAATGTGTTAAAGTGTCACTTGAATGCAACAAAAGTTTGGTCTTTCATGAAGTCTATTACAAGAAGAAGTCCGGAAATACTTGTAATACACCTCAGGCGTCACCAGGCGTCTGCTTCTTTATTTAACTGTACGTCAGAGTCTCTGGAAGGTAAACCGTACATTATTTTATGTCAGAACACATCTCGGCTTATCTGTTTATCTTCATCAAGATATTTCTTCAAAATGATCACTTTATTCTCACCACTACTGTTCTTTCTGACACCCTTTGTGTGAGAATGTTCGAATTTACAAAAGTGAAAAAAACTAAGCTGAATAAATGGGCACTTTTGAAATTTTTGATTTTAGCGAACGCTGGAACCGAATTGGATACAAATGTCATTACGGATGTTGGAGGATGTCACATGTTCAGCGTCCGTCTACCGTATGCGCCAGAGGCACGTCAACCATAAGTCTACAGGACATTTTGATTGAGAAGATTTTGTTTAATTGACGACAGTCAGCATATGCGGTAAAAGATGCATTAACGACAAGTTTCGGCCAGGGCAGTTAAAAAAATTAAAATTTGACATTACATGTGGCAAGAGTCGGTTACGCCGTCCTAGTCCCGAGTGTAAGCGAAATGGAGGACCTTGAACGGAGGGAAAACCGAAGGAGGATACTGAAGTTCTCGGTGGGAAAGAAGTCGAAGATAAAGCGGAAAAGGCCAACACGACGTTTGGCG